TAATAATGTATTTCCAAATTTACTTAACTCTTAATGTATCATACTATATCTAACTAATAATAAAACATGCTCCGTATACCAAAATGGAACACAGTGACAAACTTCCAAAAAATGGAAGAAAAAAAACGAACTAAAAAGGAAAACAATTTTCATTTCGTTTCGGTGAGAAAAAGGAAAAAAAACTTTTTCCCCCCCCTTTTCTTTCGAGATCCACGAACCAAACATAGCCTTAAGTCTCTGGTTTTACTTTGCTTGGAAATATATTTCATAGAAAATGAAAGGGAAAATAAAAATGGAAATTACTTAGTAAAAAAACAATGCATAAACAGTATGAGAGCAAACATTTTCTCATTATTAAACTTTGAAGACCAAAAACAAAGGGAAAATTTAAAAGATCAACAGAAAGCAGCAAAAGGCTACACTAAACTTGTGTCTGCCTAAAATGAACTCACACTAGTGATGTTTATGGCTCAACCAAATCCTAAGTATGAGCAATTAGACAGAGTTCAAATATAGAAGCAATAATAACACACTAATCTCATTCAAAACAATGTGATCATCTGGTATAAACACACAAGAATTTGGATGATGATGATGATGATGATGATTAAGCACCGTGATCGGGACTTGCCCGAGAACCCGAGCCCCCATCCACTCCCGCCATCAAATCCATCAAATTGCTCCGCGATCCCAAATCCGAATGAATTCTCCGCGAACCCCACAATGGCTTATTACTTGTGACTTTCTTAGCATTGAAGTTCTCATCATCGCCCCTACCGGGCGTCCTACCACCACCACCACCACCCACGGTCTCGACCACCAAACACGGATTGGTAAGACCGTTTGCCCACGGATGAAGCGGGACCGATTTGCTCAACTCGCTCAAGCACTCGACGACCTCATCCATACTCGGCCTCCTTTCCCTACAAGACCTCACGCATTTGGTGGCCACGACCGCCAATTGCTTCATCACCCTTGGATCCTTGGGGGGTTGGATCCTAGGGTCATACATTGCCAAGAGCTTCCCTCGCCTCACCAAAGGGACGGCCCACTCAACTATATAAGGCGGGGAGTACGCCACGTCAATGGCCTTTCTCCCACTGATCATCTCCAACAACAATATCCCAAAACTAAACACATCGGTTTTCGGGCTCAGATGATCCGGGGTAACATACCCCGGATCAAGATAGCCCATTGTGCCCGCGGGTGGGGTCGACCTAAGCCTAGAGTCATCCTGTTGGCACCTCAACGCCAACCCGAAATCGCCCAAACGGGCATTGGAGTTTCGGTCAATCAACACATTTGCGGACTTGATATCGCGGTGGATCACGGGCGGGTCCAACGAGTGAAGTGCCCGAATGGCTTTCGCAGTCTGAAGAGCCATTTTCACCCGCCTGCCCCAACCGAGCGGGCGGGGATCGGTGTGAAGGGCATCAAACAGAGTCCCATTGGACATGAACTCCACCACCAGAAGCCGGTCCCGGCATTCACCGGTGGTGAACCCGACGAGATTCACCAGCCTAGGGTTTTGCAACCTGGACAGGATTTCAATTTCATTATCGATTTCATTCGGGTTCTCGGAGGAGGAGGAGGAGGAAGACGAAGCAAGGCACCTCGGAGACCTGGAAGACTTCTTGACGGCCACTAGACGGCCGCCGGGGAGGACGCCCTTGTAGACGAGGCCATGGCTGCCCTTCCCGAGGAGCTTCTTGTCGGAGAAGCCATTGGTGGCGGCTTCGAGGTCACTGTGGCTGAATTCTTGAATGAATCTGCTGCTGCTGCTGCTGCTGGCGCTGACGTTCTTGTTCTTCTTCTTCTTGCTCTGGGTGTTCTTGGAATCGGAGATTGAAACTGCAGATTGGGAATTACATGAAAGATAACCCATTTATCTAAATCAATTCGAGATTTGTTCCTCGGAGTTCATCTGATTTGGTGGCGATGGAGGCGGATAGGATAGGATAGGGTAGAGGGATTCATTATTGGCAGGGAAAAGAAAGGAATCCATTGAGATCTGAGAGCCTATAATTAAGGCAGTGAATTACGGAGTAGTATCTTAAAAGAGAGTTGATGGTACACTTAAGAAAGACGACTCCAACATTGACAATTTAATTACTGTGTTTGTAATTTTGTACGAAATGGATTGTTGCCTACTTGAATAATACTTGAATTCGACTTTTGATAACAATGCTAAATGATAAATGTTGAGCTTGAGTTGTTACAAATATCATGTACACGCTTTATTTTTTATTATCAATCTCTGATTAAAACATTTACAATGACATGGACTCTTCACTCTCGCCCTGCCCTAATCTCTGCCACATCATCATCTCTCTCTTTTTCTAAATCAGGCCAAAACACTTGTAATGTTATCGCTCTCTCTCGCCTCGTCTCTCTACTTATTTTACATTATTAATCATTTTAGTTAAAAATTTATAAAAATTAGATAAATTAAGAAAAATTTATAAATAATAAAAAAATAACAATAAAAAATAAAAAAAATTAGCAAATACTACTACATTAAAGTTACTAAATACTACATTAATAAAAGGGAAACATTTTAACATGCTTAAAATTTAAATTAAAATTACAAATACTAAAAAAATTAAAAAGTGCTATTGTTGGCCTTCCCTTTGCTCATGCTCTAAGTGTCGGGCTTCAACTTTGAAAGGTCAGAGTCATTTGTATTAACATCGGGCTACGTTGGAGCCCAAGAGGGGGCAAAGTCACCGCCCATAGACAGAACATTAGTTTGAAAAGGTTCCCGAACGCTTAGTTCTTCACATCATGTCAAATAGAACTAACACAACTCCAGAAATAAGGTTATAAGTAGCCTTGTCATGGAAAAACGGTGCTATTAAAAGTATGTATATTTCTCTCTCAACGAATCACAATTGATATTTAGCTCGATAAACGAGACAAGTATTACAAGCCAAGTACACGTATTTAGCTCTCCGATTTAGCTTACCCCCGGATATCCATCCGCATCACTTACCTCCATTCTTAAATGCCTTCCTAAGTTTGAGGGACACGTAGTTGATTACGAGTAGTGAGTTAAAAATTTAAAATAGAATGGTTGTAAAAGATATTGAGTGAATATATTTACAACCATAGTAGAGGTACCTTATGAAATGTACTCCAAAGTGTACACCAAAATCATACGTTAATATTTTGATGGTTCACACTAACGCAATATTCTAGTGCGATAAAAAAAATTTGCATTAATATTTTGTGCCTGAATGACCCATCAGCTTAGTATCACAATGGCTTAAAATAAAAATGCATATCTGCAGTGCATAATTTAGAAGTGGAAATATGCCAATGAGCAAAAAGTATCTAGAAAAGGATAGATATATTATTTAGACCATGTGTAATGGTTCATGCCCTTTCAGGGCGTTTTCTGCCATGTTATTGGATTTAATAGAAATCACCCTAAATAAAACTAAAACATAGAAAAAAGTACCAAATATAAGAGTTTTATGTTTTTATTCCTGAAATAGGACTTCAGAGGTAATGTGACACTATACATGTGCATATTACTATACTTTTTGGTAATGTATATAATCATGTTTGGTAATATAAATATATTTTAACTCCTATTTTAGGAATAAAAATATGAAAGTCTTATTTTAGTATATTTTCAATGTTTTACTCGTACTTTGTTCTTTTTCCCTCGGATTTATTCTACGAGATGTTTTATGATGGACCTAAGGTCTACATGGAACTTCTCACACTTTTTTTATTATTTAAAAATGCTTATTTTCACACTTGAAAATGCTTATTTTACACATATGAAGATCTACCATAATCCTTAGTTGCATGTACTAATTGATCTGGTTCTATATTCAATTTATTAGAGTTTGATATGATATTATCTAATTCAGATATGATTCTAACTGAAATCAAAATTAATTTTGATATAATTCAATTTGAATAAAGTAATACGAATAAATTGAAAAAAAATGCCCTCAAAATAATTCAAACAAAAAATCAATACAGCGACAATAAAAGAATATTAGGCCATGAGGTGTGGGTCAAAATAGTTCATCCTTTTTTTTTCTTTTTTCTTTTTAATATACTTCTTTCCAACTATTTTACAACTATTTTAATTAATATTACTTAAATTTAAATAATTTTTTTACTAATATTAAATTTTAAATTACAATAACAAAACTACGAGAAAAATGTCGTGAATCTAAACACTAAAAAGCAAAGCAAAAAATATTACGCTATAAAAACAACATTAAATTTAGAAGTAATATAAAAAACAATAAACACTAAAACAATCCAAATTTCTGTCTAATACTCCGTACTAAATTTAAAAGTAATATAAAAGAATTAAAAATTTATTTTTAAAAAAACTATTCATCATCGTGATATAATAATTTCTCTGGTACTACATTTAAAAGTAATATAAACTTAAATAATAAAAGAAATTTTAAATACATAGGTATGTATGTGTGTGTTTATATCCCGAGTATATATTTAAAGTAAAAGACCAAAATCTTAAAGTAAAAAAACGAAATGGTTGTAATGCCAATCACACGCATCACGGTCACAGAAGACGGGGCTGTGTTCCCTCTCCATCCCGGTCCANACACCATTCGGCCTTACCAACAAACAACCAAAACTTCAAAGAGAATGTCAATTGCATGCAGTGTCACAAACTTGCAACTCTTTCATGATGTACACACCCTAACCAACCAGGCATAGACCTGCACTACAACCTTTCATGCCCAAAAAAGTGTAGTGGTACTCCCTCCGTTCCCCTAAGATATTTTCATTTTAACTTTTTGTGGGTTTTAAGGAGAGTTAAAAAAAATGGAAAGTTTATCAAAACGTCCTTAATGAAAATGGGTAGAGTATATAAAATGAGGTGGGTGAGGTGTAACAAATAAAGTAAGGGTAGTTGTGGTTTTTTAAATGTTAAAAGGACAAATGAGAAAATCTATGAGAGACAAATAAAAAAGAGTTAATGGAAGATCTATGAGAAATGGAGGGAGTAAGTATTTACAACCTTATTGAGTAAACAAACAACTTTCTGACAATTCACCAAAAAAATCAACCATTTTAGACAAAACTGTAGCTTCACTACTACATCTTCTAAAGGGCAGACTAGTGAACCACATGGATGTGTAGGCAAACCTTACCTCAAATTCTTTTACAAGAGGTCCAAGACTTGAATCCACGAGACCCTAACCTCACACAGAAGTACTTTATCAGGTGTGCCATGATTCTTCTTCAAAAACACAATTGTAGACGGTTTCTATATAGACAATATGGTGCCGACCCAACGAGCATAACTCTAATGTGTTGTAAGCATACATACATGTATAGACAGAAGTCAGTGCATCTTGCTTGTATCTGGAAGAAATGACAAGGCTGCAATTCTGCATCCACATAATCAATAAAAATTAGAATGCCAATCAATTATTAAGCGACTGCAATCGATCGTGTTTTTGACTTGATCCAGAGCTGCATATCTATGTTTCAATAAAACAACAGATTTAGTTTCTTCCAGCTTCTGCAGCCCATTGCTTTTTCCTTTACGTGCCAGTTTCTTGGAAAGTTGTTTCCATCTTGATTCAAAAGTACAAGCTGCAAATAGAAAGAGGTAGGAAAGTAAATCTACTTTCTCATATTGTAGAGCAAAAACATATGGTATGTTTGTGAAACAATTTTGCCATTAATGTGCATAAATATTACTCTAATTCAGCACTAGTTCCATATTTAAAAGTGACAAAGAAAGGGGCTGGTCAGGGAACCTAAAATGGCCTTTAACCATAAACTCAACCCTTTCTCCCTCTTAAAACCCAAACTCTCTCAAAGGTTTAAAAACACAACAATAGTATCTTACTTGCAGACACCAATTGGAGTTTTGGACATGTGGATGTGGGTTTAACATCAAAAACATCAACTTTCAGCAACATTTTCTTCTCTACTTTTGTTAACTTGTCTAATTTAAAGTTTTTATTCCTTTCCTTTCTTGAATTTACTGGTGTTTGCGCTAATAAGAGTAGCTAGACTTTAGGTAGTCTTAAAAGTAATAGTTGACTTTGTTGGACTACATGAGCCCAAGTATCCTTTTTTGGTATAATAAAATTTCATTGATGAGTTTTGATAACAACCACAAAGATTCTCTTGGCTCAAAAACTATCATTTTGTTTCAAACAGATTTTTTATTTACGTTAATAATGTGTTTCTGATTTTTAAATATTCTTCTGTAAACCAAAACACTCTTTTTGGTTGCAGGAATAATTTTGCAGGAAATCAGGAATAATGTGTTGCAGCAGGAACATTGCACTCTTGCAAATTTCGTGTTCTCGGCAGAATTGCCCAGGCGACCGGTTGTCACCATTTGGACAATCGATTGTTACTTATCTGGGCAAAGGGTTTGTTGTCAGAAACTGTGAGACAATGGATTGTCTCACTCATGACAATCGAAGAATTGAATGTCACAAGTCTGTTAAGACCCAATGGTCAGTTTTTGAACTGCCAATCGATGGTCCTGACTAGACAATCTATCGTCCACCGCTAAACATCTTCCAAGAGCTTTTCTTGGATTAATTGATTGATTTTCTTACCAAATAAATCCCCAACGGTCACAAGCTTCTTTTACTATAAATATGGGTGTTTTAACACCATTTTGATAACACATCCTTCCATATTATAGCGTTGATCATAAATTTCTATACACTTCATTAAGCCATTATTGAGCCATTTGTATCTCTTCATTTACTCATAGAAAGACCTTTTATTTGCAAGGGAGAGGTTAAGAAGAAAACACCTTGTTGTATTTTGGTTTGCTAAGAACTCGTAATCTTAGTGGAGTGAAGTCCTGAGATAAGCGTTCATGCAATTTAAATCTTGTAGAGAGAATATCTACTAGCACTTGTAAACGATACGGTAGTGGAATCTGGAGTGACTCACTCGGGGGCTATACTTGACTCAAGTTGTGATGAGAAAACATAAATCTCTTGTATTCTTCCTTCCCACTTTTATTTACGCATTTTATTTTATTCATGTGCTTTTTAATTCCAAAAAAATTATCAACATTCTTGTAAAACACTATTCATCTATTGGCCATTTATTCTAACAGACTAATTTGTGATGTAATGTAGGTTTTTTTTATTAAGGGGTTTTCGGGACTAACCTAAAACTTAGTTGTATGCGTGGTGTTCAAAACTAAAACTAAGGAGTAGAAATAGATAATAATATGGCTTTCATAGTTCATACATTAGGAAGGACTACGACAGGAGAGTAGAAAAAGTTGAGCCTTAGATACTAGCATTTGACCATTATGTAGGTGTGCTTGGTTGGAGGAAAAGGAAAATGTTCCCACCCCTTGTCTAGTTCAAAACTTTTATTAATGTGAGATTGAAAAACTTTCTCTCCCCTCTTCTCCCATCAAATATTTGGATCCCACATTTAAAAAAATGTTTTGAGCCAAAATAGGAGAAGGTATAATTTTCCCTTCCCTTCCCTCCCTCCAAGACTCCAGCCAAACCCAACTTAAGAATTTATGGCAATTTTAACTCCACTTTACAAAAAGAATCCACTATCAACAAATACCTTCACTTCTGTCCTTAAATCCTCCAATAAGGCATGCACATATCCATGGCCTTCCTGAACGAGATGCCTTTGCACCTCCTTTAAGATCACCGTTATGTTGCTTCAAACTAAAAAATGCAAAACTAATACGCATGAAATTAAAGTGACCAAAGTGAGTACACAATGATCAAAATATACTCCCGGAAGTTGTAACAAGAAATGTGGAGCAAACATATAAGTTAATGCAACCTTCAATTGGGTTTCTTCAATTGCTACTTCCTTTTTAAGCATGACACTGTCTAGAGGGGTGTCGACCTATGGAAACCCAAGTCTTAATATGCTAACAAGCCTCGCAATGTATGTTACCCTTGGCACATGCTCCCTCCGTCCCGTTATTTTTGGGACACGGGGTAGTGGCACGCAAATTAAGAAAATGAAATCATGTCATTGATAATGATGTTAGAAACAATGAAAAAGTAAAAATAAATGTAATCCACACTAATGATGCTAAATGTACTATGAGATAAAAATAAAAAGGTACAGGGGGCTAAAAATAGCAGGAGAAAGGGAGTAACACTGATTTAGTGCCAAGATGGTGTTGAGCATAGGGAGACTCAACCTACATCTCCTTACGTTCCAGGACCATTGCAAGGCCAAAATGATGGTGAGTCTTCTTCTCAAACCGTTCCAGATGTTCAGAGTCTGAAAGAGGACATAGTCCTTCAAAAAGATATTTAGATTCTTATTACTTTCTGCATAGTGAAGATGAAAAACGAGAGAGCTTCCAAGAGCTGTGCAGAGACATAGATAGAATTGGTCACACAAACTAGAGTTGTGCATAGACATAGCCAAGATTGTTGTAAGATGACACATGCTTCAGATGTGGCTAGAGGGGGAGAATCATTGAATATGTTCAACCAACCATTGTTGAAGTCTCTGGATTTAGAAGTTGGAGATGTCATGCAAGACATCATGAGGTGAGGTCATGCAAGACCTCAATGGCGGTAGGACAGTATGTGAGAGGAAACTTCACATTTTTTTGCTATAAATAGGGAGCTCCTATATCAGGTACTATCATCCCAAAATTGCAGAGAATTTTTTTTGTAAAATAAATTTCCAGGGGAAGAATTAATCCCTATTGAGTGAATTGAATTATTTTTGAGAAGTTTATGTAATTTCTATTTCTTGTAGAAATGGAGTTTCACTCAAATTTGTGTCTTTAATCATTATTCAATCTTGAGTAATTTAACCCAACAATCTAGAGGGTTGTCGACCTATGGAACCCAAGTCTTAATATGCTACCAAGCGTTACAATGGTTCCCTTGGGCCTTTGTGCATAACATATATTCATCCTCATCACTGTTACCTCAACCCATTCGGTGCTTCTTAATCGAAAAGTAGTGATGAGTGTTTGATACTGAAAGGCAACCTCCAGTTATTTGATCACAAAACCCATTTTCTGTTTAAAAAAGTACGGGCGGACACCCATAACTTTACCACCCCTCAGTCTTCACCAGATTCAATTCCAACAAAATTATTTAAACTTCCATCAAAATTCAATTTGTTTTAACGCATTTGAGGAAACAAATAGGAAGATTGACACTTCCCAGTTCTGCATAAGAACATTCAAGAAGGAAAATACACACAATCATTTCGAAAGCTTCCATTTTCACATCTTAACAACCCTAAAACTACAAATCTTCATATAAAAAAACCAAGAGGAGATTACCGGCGGGTGAAATTGGTGGTGACTCCAACGTAGGTTTTGATAGGCGGATTGGTAGACAAGATCAAGTACACCGACCACGGCGAGTTTGATTTTGATGCGGAGGTCGACGGAGACGCTTTGATTGGTAAGGAATTTGAAGGTGCCGATGAAGGAGAAGCTTTCAGTTTGGGAATAGAACGATTGGGCTTCAATGATCTGAAGGCATCTGATACCAATAATTGCTTCGCCATTGACCCATCCCCAAGCTATTTCCCTCTCTGATCCGACGAATGACGAAAAGATTCATAATAAGCCAGTAGCCAATTACCCAGTAATTTCTTCATTTCCAGTCTCCTTCACCCGCCACTCAGATTCATGAAGGTGAAACATGACTGAGATTGAACGTTTTGAAATGAAAGATCTTCCTTATGATATCAATTCTCATTACATATTTATGATGCTCATTTAATAAAATAATAGTCATTTTTAAAATTTTTGATAAATTTTTAAATATATAAAGTTATTTAAATATTTCTTTTATATAAAATGAATTGAAAATTAATATCAATCAAACATCGTAAACAAAAACAAACAAGTTAAATAGGAACGAAGAGATTAATATTGAGTATATTTTTAAATTTTGAAATAAGGGTGTTTGAGCATATATATTTGAAACAATGAAACGAAGAACCTACTGGATAGTCGATGATAGTGGGTTGTCTATGGTGACAATAGTTGGTCATCCGCGGTCAACATTGTGACAAAGTGTGGCTGAAGGTGGTGGTAGAAGGACCTATGAAAACTCTAGATTAATACGGACAACCTTTTTGTGGTACTTTGGTGAAACCTAAAAGAGATTGGATTTGATACCAATAACTAAATTTTCCTAAATGTTAATATCTTGATATCTCCTAGTTTTAAGAGACATCAAATCGAGATTTTGATATCTTCATGATTTCCTTGAACGCCTGCCGCCACCATTGGCAACCCATCCCTGCTAATCACCAATTTCCAAACACCCAACGAACTTCGTCGTCCAGTCATTTCAAAATTCTTTAAACACTTTCATTTTATATTCTGGATTTCAAAATAATTTTTAGCCACCCATCACCGCCTATCCATAATAAAAACCCTCTATATCGATGGCAATGGGTGACCGAATGACAAGGTATGGTCGACAACGATTGGCCAGCATCGGTGAGTGATAGTTATTAGTGGTCAACGATGGTTGGAGCTAACAACAAGCGACTAACATGGTGGGGGCTAGCACTAATGGAGGGCAACAATGGAGGTGTTTAGCTGGGGATGACGATTCAATCAGGGATTCTAGGTGGTCGTATTGGTTGCCGATTTTCAGAAAGATATCAAATCCCCAAATTGATGTTTGCTAAATTAGAAAGATATTAAAACACCTTCACCTAATTGGGTTGTGATATTTGAAGATATCAAATGACAATCCATGTTTTGGCTTCATCACACACAAAAACTCTCGCTCACCAAATAGTCATTTAAGTACTTCAATTCATTTTAAAGTCAACAACAACAATCAAATGGAATACAATAATAACACCCCGAGTAAAATCCCACGAAAGTATGGACTCGAGAGGGTAAATCATTTAACATCCATTTTGAATAAAAAGAAAAAAAATCCTTCCATTAATAAGTCCCAAGGGTCACTCACCAACCAAGCAAAAATAAAACTCTACCACTCACTATATAACTCATGCTTGAGATCAGCCAGACCCAAAGGTGCTTCCCTATCACCTAAACCCCACACCAATCCAGTCCACTCTAGTGAAAAACTGGTGGGACTTCCTTCAACAATTTTTGTCTTTACAACCAATTAGAGTTCTTGATATAATCCCCATTTTAAAAAAACACATGTCCCATTGCGCATCACTCTCATTTCAGCTTCAAATGGTTCTACGAATTGCAGCAGGATATGGTTTCTGGTTCAGGCGTCTTCCTCTTTCTGCACGAAGCATCCGGTGGTCTGCTTAGTTAAAACAAGAAGAAGAAGAATGAGTCACTGCAAAAGAGTGAAATAAGTTTGAGTGTTTGATCAAATGTCTCACCCCAGCTGCAAAGTGGTATCAGAAACCTCATTCAACAAATCACCATTGTTGTGACTCTCAGCGCCATCTTTCCCAGAGGAAGAACAAGTCCTTTGTGTGGTGGGATAGTACTCAAGATACTGGGTGGCTGAGGCTGGTTTACTCATCATGCTTTTAAGCTCCTCATCTTCTCTTCTAAGCTCTTCTAGCTAAACATGTTTCGCCGTTCAAGAAGAAGTTAAGCACACAAAAAAAATGTAAAATCTTGAGCAAGTTATGGCCAAAACCAGATGATTCTAAGAGAAACATTTGTCTTGCCTGTCTGCGCAAATCTTCGTTCTCCTGCCGGGTTCGCTCCTCCTGGTTAGCAATATCAAATGTGTAAGATGATGTCAAATGGAGTCGCCGTTTCATTACTAATTATTCATTGAGCTCACAATGTGATGCCTGTGTTTCAATATGCATCTTTCCATAGAAAGCGCTTGGTAAAGGGTATTTGATTAAAATGACTCAAACATCTGAACTTATCAATGAAAAGTGTTTGTTAACATCCATTTATTCTGCTCATTCAGTTAGCACAAAGAATGAGGCAAAGAAGCAAGAACTGGACGCCAAACGAGCCCTTAGGCTTAGTTTTGAAATTTCAGCTAGAAGTGCATCAAGCAGCAATTGCACTTGGCAAACATTACCTGTTTTTTTGATTGCTCCAATTGTTCCGTCAGCAATTGCTCCTAAAGTATATTTTAAAGAGTACAATTAATAACCATATTTATTAGTCCCTATGAGATCTTAGAAACTAAAATTAACTAATATTCAAACTTACCCATTACCTTACAGATTAGCTCAAAGAAACAAGGTTTTAGCTAAACGTTGTCGTTAGATAGCTTTTTTTTTCAAAATGCTAACCTCTAAGGTTGTTGCCAAACGGCCCCGAAAATAATCACGAGCAAAACAAACCTTTCTTCCCTTTATAGCAAAGAGTGCTGCATCTAGTTTATGCTCAAGCTGTCGTAATTCGTGCAAGCCCATGCCCGTGAGGTCCTTACCCAACAACTGCCTGAAATAGGATCCAACTTCGTTAAATACTAAATGAACTGTTTTGAATTTTACAGAGAACTAACAAAAAATAATGAGGCATTATATGAACGGTACTAGACATACAACTGCTTTGATTTAAGCTCGGAGATTTCGTTGTTCAAAGCTTCCAATTCCTTTTGCTCCACCTGCTCATTATTAATAACCAGAAGCACACTTCAAGAATTAACAAGTAAAACAGTAGACAGTAAAAATCTGCACAATTCTTGCCAATGTTTAGTAGAAAAGACACAATTTATGGTTAATTAACCTAGGAGTCATAAGTACTGAAATAGAGGATAAAAAGCTTACAATATGTGGTAAACTATGGTGATTTTTTCATGCTAAGATGCATTTAAATAGACTTTGTACAGCCAATTTGCTTAACAGAAAAAATTATAAATCACAATACCTATGTGGTCACCCCTATCCTCTATATATATATATATATTGAGTTTTCAATTTGGAAAGTCAAAATATTGGTTTTGAACTTTTGGTCATAGTGGGAACATCATTATGGGTAGGAGGGAGTATTACACATACTAACATGTAAATATATGTGTATATATAATGCTTATTTATGGAGTACATCTTTCACCTTTGGCTTCTTCTCTACAACAACGGGCGCCTCGGAAGAAAGTAGGCACTTATTGTACCTTGACAGAGTATGCTTCATGCTGCATATAGACACAATCCATAAGTTGAAATATAATGTTCATAATGGATCCAGGATGACTCTGCATCCCATAGCTCTTTTTATGTTTAAAAAAAGTCAATGATTCATTGTGGAATTGCAGGGATGAATGAGTAATTTCTGGATTTGTATTTCTCAATTTCAGTCATGAACACACTAAAGACACGGTTAAGATGTCATTAAAGGTCATTGAGTAACAATTAAGGATCACTTTTTGTTGTTTTGTTTTAGTTTTTGTTTTCTTGTTACACTGTTAAGGTGACTTGTATAGATAAGCAAAACATATGCTTCCAAAGTCAATCCAATTACAAATAAAGGACCATTTGCGTGAAGATCATCATGATGCCCCTACAATGTCATCAAATTAAGAACAATACAGAACATCCAAAAACCATGTAGAGACAAACAAATTGATCTTATCCCTTCAAGAATTCAAATTTACTCTGTGGCAGTAATTAGTAAAGAAATTGCAATGCAAACCAAGAACAAATACAAAAAGCTAACACCTTTCATAGAGGAAGCAAGAGTAATTATCATCTAAAATTTACCCACTCAATCACTCAAATTGATGCACGGATTGGTCCCAACTCCCAAGTAAACTCTGGGTAAAAACCAGAGGGTAAGCATTACTCCAGGAAGCAAAAATCAGAACTGAGAATCAAGAAACCTTTAAAGAGAACAAAACTTCATCTCGGATGCAAAATACCCAAAAAAAAAATCGAATCTTTTACCCCAAAAAAACCAACCGGACTTAAAATATAAAGAAATATGGCACACCCATCACAAATCCTACCAAAAAATTCAATCTTTTGAGCAAAAAGAAACAAATCTAAAGAAGGGAGAGCAAACAGATGGGGAAACAGACAGAGAGACCTTGTGCTGGAGTACTCAAAGAGCTTATCAGTGGCTGAGAAGATGATGACGGCCACCTCTGCATCGCAGAGAATGGAGAGCTCCTGGGCCTTCTTCAGGAGCCCAGATCGCCTCTTGGAGAAAGTCACTTGCCTGTTATTCACATTCTCAATCAATTTTATGTCAATCTTTCCTCTCCCCATCTTTCTTTCTTCCGCTCTCTTTCCCCCCCTTTTTAGGTTCTGAAATCTAGAAACCAACCAACAAAATTCCAAAATCTATATTTACAGATTCAAGGGTTTTTTTGACCGGCGGAGGAGGGCGGCTGCGGCGGCGGTGTTATTTGAGGAATATGAAGAGATGAGGAGAATGGGAAGGGCAAGAATGGGTTGCTAAATATAGAGAGAGAGAATTGTGGAAAAGGGGAAGAAGACATATAAAGATAGAGATGAGAGAAGATGGAGAGTCCCCAAATGGCAAGCTTGCATGGGATTTTGCCACTCTCCTAAACACTGCATGACTCTGTTGTTGCCACATTTAGCCTGACTTCCTCCTCCCATTGGCCCCCCTTTTTTTTACTCCCTGGGCCCCACCGCCTTCCTTTTTTGCCCTTTTTCCTCTTTCTTGGCAAGCATTTCTGCATTTATGGGTTTGCCTAAAACAGATCGGGTACCAAGGGCGTTTTGGTCATTTCGCATGATTCGTCTTGCTTTTTCTGATTTTTGCCCATTAATGGTGTTTTCCCCAACCGGTTTCCCAGGCTGGGGGGTAAACTGGTACTTTCCTCCTTGTTTGCTATTTTGTGTAATCCTTTCTTTCTTTTTTTCCCTTTTCAGTCGATGAATTCAAGAAAAGAAAGTAATCTCTTTTTTACATTTATATAGTAAATGCTAAAATCGATTGAACAACTGTACCCCTCCGTTTTTAATTGTACAATGAGTGTTGTTTACGATTTCTCAAATTTAGAAACATGAATAAATATTTTCTCTATCTTAAAATAAATACCCGTATAAGCGTTTGTTTTTACGTATTTCAAAAAAGTTATTGAAAAATAAAAAATTCGTGTCTATAATTATTTTAGAAAAAAAAAAAAGAAATGTTGTATGTGGCTTATTGCTCCCAGTGCATTAAAAAATGTAAATTTTATTTTTAAAAAACAAAGAAGAAGAAAATTTCAGATTTGTTATTTATTTAGAGATTGGGAAGTTTAATTTTTCTTCTTTACAAAAACAGCAAAAATTTTTAATGCTTAAAATTTTGGGCCTAACCATGCAATAATGGCCTATTATATAGAGAATTATACCGTTAATACGTTTACTATGTTGGACAAAAACTATTATCGTCTAGAAGTATGTGCAGTTGTTGCATAAGTGCAAAGCCAATCATTAAAAATCGTGACTACCCACTTTCTCATTCTTTCAGGCACATTGCACCGCGCTTCTTCTTTCTATATATGTCGCCACTCACATTCCATTTTCTTTCTTAATCGCGCTCCCTTTGCATCTTTTTCTTCACCAACCCTAAATTCAATGTCTTCTCCGTGTCCCTGGCTAGGTTTGTCGGATGGTAATGACTTCTAGCGAGGACGAATCAAACGTCTCAAGTTCCTCAATTTGGCTGCCCAGCTTTAGTCTGATCAAATGGAGGATCTACAGCTTCAATGCTTCGGGGATGCGCAACCTTATGTCAGACCAAATATGATGATGACGGCATCTGTAACATTCCATCCCGCGTAACCCAAATAGATGGATCAGCAAATTACGTTGTCACTAGATTGACATCCAAACATAATAATTTTCAAAATAATTTAAATATTTATTTCAAAACATTATCAAAATATCCATCGAAGTAAATAAAATGGTGCGAAAGCTTAAGTACTTAATTCAAAAACAACTTTGGGGTCATCCCCTAAAAAGAAACTAATAAATTCAAACGGAAATATTTAATCAAATCTATTCATCAGCCTGCATCCACACGCCATCTCATCCCTACTGCCATTGTTTAATTTCCTTATTCGTCATTCTTAGCTTGTTACTTAAGTCTAGCAAGTAAAAACAAGCCACACACTCATCTTTCACGCTGAATGAGAGGTTCTAATAGTAGAAGTCACGCATATGATTAATTCAACATATATAACCATTCATAGCATTCCATGCAACAAATATTATCACAACATCAAGCGATAACAGTAATATCAACAATTCATAAATCAAACCTTGTTGCCTAATTACCAAATTTACTTCATTCTTAACTCATATATTTATGTCATATTCTAAGCTCATAACCTATCTTAAGCTAAGGTCAATTCTTTATTCTTTCTAGAGTCCTCATTCAACCACATCCATGAAAGAACACGCTTGATACGACGTCATCCAACATTAGCTAGGTGGGACCGCCTACTCACATCCATGAATTGATCTTAGACCCCTGTGCGCACGTTTTACCCCATGATCATGTGTGCATGCCCGCTCATCACATGACTAATAACTCTTAATTGTATTCTAGTAAAGTTCATAAGCATACATTATTTAACAATTAGAGGCTTAGTGTTGGGTGCAAACACCTTCCACTTAACATCATGTAGCACATAAGGTCTCGAAGTCGATCCGTGACTTGGTCGGAACAACAAACAAGCAAATAGAGTCGAGAAATGTCTGGTATGGTACTTCGGTACCGCCTCACACTACCTCGGTACTATCCGTATCTTGGTTTGGCAACGAACTTGGGTTGTGAGTGTAGTCACCTACCATGAGGGATTTAAATAAAGAAAAAGAAAAAAACCTTTGAGCTATAAAGGCTACGTTGAGGCGGAAACGACGTGGAGATGGTGAGGCGTCGACGACAAAGAGTGGGGGTGATGGCACGGAGGTGCGTGGAGAACGGCGACGGTGTGGAGGATGGCGATGTGGGAGACTAAGGCATCGACGCATAGGTGGCGTGGAGGATGGTGACGACGAAGGCGAAGGAATTGAAAAGGAAAAGATGACAGCTCAGGCAAACCCTAGGTTGAGGATGGCATCGGTGAACTAAGGCAACGATGGGTAGGTGGATTGGAGGACGGCGACGGCGAAGGAGAATATGATGGCTAAAATACTATTATTAATAATAGTATACCTTATTTTTCTTGTAACGAGATGGGTGTAAATAGTTTACCATGGGGAGTTTCCGTTCATGAGGCTTAGATTATGGATCACAGCAAATGCTCTATTTTGTATTCCCATGCATAAATGTTGACTATCGTTTAATAAAAATCTCAAACACCATTTAAAATAATATACTCCGTCGTCCCTTAAAAAACTTCTCATTTTAACTTTTAAAAGATTTAAGAAAAATGTATTTTGGTGTTGACTTTACAAAAATACCCTTTGATGTGATGGACAAAGTAGGATGGAATGAATAGATTAATTGAGAAAAAATATGATATGATAGAGAGGTTAAGAATTAATAGGGGTAAAGTGACTTTTTAATAAGAAAAGAGGAAATATAATCTTTTGGTGAACATGAAAGTTCTTTTCATGATTTTTATTAGGAAAATGCTAGGGGTACACCAAAAGTGTACCCCAAACATCCCCCACCCCCTCCATCACCACAAAAAAAAGCAAAAAAATCAAAAAAAAAAATTAAAAAATAAAAATAAAATAAAATGAATGGTAGAAAAGGGAGTGGTGTACATTTGAGATACACATTTGGTGTACCCCTAGCATATCCCTTTTTATTAACCATTGACTATATTTAGTGCAAATCAGGAGTCACATAAGAAAAATGTGTTGTACCCCATTTGTTCCCCACCCCCTCCATAACCACAAAAAAGGCAAGAAACTAAAAAAAATTATATAAATAAAAATAAAATAAAATTGAGTGGTAGAGAGAGGGGTGGGGGACAAATGGGGTACAACTTTGGTGTACCCCTAGCATTGCTCGTCACATAATGAGGGCATGAAGAACAATGAAAAGCAAAGTTTTGTGGATAGCTTCTAAAGTAAATTTAAGGACCTCTTTAGGAATAACGTTAGAGATTAGCATTATCGTTTTGGATAAAATGTTAACGGTGCAAATTACTTTGAAAACGCTAACACTAAACGATGCCCGTAGATAGCATTTTCAAAACGCTAACGCTAATCTCTAATGCTATTTCCAAACAGACCCTAAATCAATAACATTCCCAACATGGTGCTTAAGATCACGCCTCACCAAATTTCAACTTCCTTTCACCAATAATGCACATTACAATTTACAACAACAAAAATAAACTCAGTATAATCCCATAAGTGGGTCATGTACTCAAACCTTACCCTTACCTAGAAAAGATTTTTTTATAAACAAAAAAAAACCTTTCTGAAAGACCCGCCGATAATGCACATTGAGTACCCAAAATATAAAAATATACATACATTTGTGTAGAAAACAAAGGCAGGAAGTGTAATGTAAGCCGAATCTCTATTGCAGGCTTCGTTCCAGGAGGTAGCCATCTTTTACCCGGAAGCATATGTGGAGTCCATCTTTTTACATACGTAAATAAAATGTGAATCTGGGTCTTCCATGACATAATCCGAAGGAAGTAAGCCCGTCTCGGTCAGAGGCACGGGTTCCAAATGTGATCTCAAACAAGAGGTCGAGTCGGGCTTATGTTGAAATCCAGGTCTAGCTACAAAACTCACAAATAAGTAGATCATCGGTAAGTAGCGATGTTTAAGTTACAAGTCTCCAAGAAAGAGTGTGCTCAACAGGAAACATATGTAGGTTCGCATTAATGGTATTTGTTTTCCGCAAAACCCTTACATTATATTTGGTTCAAGGAATTTGGAAGGAAACGAAAAGAAAATGAGTTTCTCTCATTTTCCTCACCAAAATGGGAGGAACTTGGTTTTTCGTCCTCTTACTACATTTTGCCTTCTCGTTTTCTTTTCCTTCAACTTTTCCTTTCGTTTCTCTCTAACCAAACAAGAAAAACTGTTTTCCACTTCTTTTTCTTTTCTTTTCCCTTTCAATTTCCTTAAACCAAACATAGTGTTAGTTATGTCATAGGCATCTCTCATTTGCTTTCTACAACCATCATGTTCATTGTCTCTCTTCTTGCAATGTGAGTTCGCTAAGTTTAGATGTGAGTGTGCTATGGAACTCTATCCTACAACCATAGGTACGAGAATACCGTACATCCAGTTAGTGAGTGAGCAATTAGTTTCCCATTTGTGAGCATTTAAGCTAGGCCCAATCATGGGCCCAGGTCCCGGCCCAGCCAACAAAGCCTGCCCACAAAATAACGGGCTTGGGCTTTGATATTTGGGCTACGGGAGGGGCCGGGCCGTAATAACAGGGGCCCACAAACTTAAGGGCCCGCAAGAATTTTATTTTAAAGCTCGCAGGCTGGCCCAGCCTGATCTAATAATAATAATAAAAATAATGATTTTTATTAGTATACAAACATGTGTATATACTTCTAAAATGAAACTTTGGTTTGATTCCACGGGTCACCATCTTGTGGGGATGTTAACTCATCCCATATTAGCTACAATATAAGATTTTGGATAACTCCTATTAGTTAGAGTTTTTAGGATGGAATCATTATTCTGAATATCCTCTAACGTGTCGAAGTTACTTGAGACTAATATTCTGCACTTTTGAACTTTACACTGTTACCCTTTACCTATTATTATTGTTGAAGACTAACTTAGAATATGGGTCTTCAAGGCCAAATGTAAAGAAAAAAACAGCACTAAACCCTTTTGGAGTTTTGTAAAACAACACATATTGTGAAACAGAGAAATTATATCCAATACGACAATTTATAAACCTCACAGGCTATAGAGATGGAGATGATAAACAACAGTGTAGAGTGTAGACTTACGTATGTTGTATAGTTCAATTTTCCAGCCGTACACTGCTCGATTCAGATGAGGCATCCTCACTGTGGGATCACCATAAGTTATCTGTGAGTAAAAAGCCAAAAAGAATCCGTAAATATAAGGTTCAAATATTTAAGAGGCAAATAATAACACAAAGAATCTTTCTGCGGATTATTACCAACATGTATATTCCACCCGGCTTCAGAACCCTAACCAAAGAAGACAAAATCATAAAAACTGATTAAGAAGAACACAGAAGAATTTAATGAATAGCAAAAAGAAAATGACGTGCTTTCTAAAACCTGCTCACTTCCCCGAGCATTTGAGAAGCACTAATTGGAGCATTGGTGCCACACTGTAGGGTTAAAACCAACAATAAAAACAACTCAGTAATGTCGCACAAGTGGGATTTTTGGGAAGGTGGGTGTACGAAGACCTTAGCCCTACCTAATGGTAGTGAGGCGGTTTCCGAAAGATCTTGGGCCCATGCCCAAATATTGAAAATGACAAAAATAAGAGCACACTTGAACGAATTAAGAAATACATAGAGAAAAACCTCACCATTAAGGAATCAAGAGTTCCTGTTGCAGCGAGATGACCAGGTCATCCATATAAAACCAAAGACGGAAAGAAAAAATTACATTCGTAGAACAAACAAAATTAAATTGAACTAATTTTACTTTTAAATCATATAAAATGAATCCTGACGTTCTCTTGCCTTTGTCAATCACACTATCAAATGAGTCATCGGGGAATAAGCTCATGTCTCTAACATCCATTTGCATGTCTATTGAGCTCCTTAAGGAAAACTCTCCACAACATGTATTCATCTTTACAAGAACAGCAACATTCCCATTAGAACTAAGATTGAGAAGTTGTCACTCGTTTGTGCAATAAGATATTTGGGCTTAACTACACTAAAAGATTGAATACAATGTATTAGTTAGTTCAACTCAAGATCTTATGAAGGTATCATTCACTCTTAAATATTTTGATATGCAATTCTAATGCTTCCCTTCAAGGAGACAACTTAGTCATTTGAATCTAACCAGTTGACCGCTTGCAAATGAATTCTCCTTCCCCTATAACAAATGTTCAAAATGTAGTGACGCCAGCCATGGGCGTCTGAGGCTTGACTTCCAGAGAAGTCTGAATAATTGGGGATGAATTTCCATACGAAGACCCGGGCTAAATGATCATGCTCCGCTAGAGATGGACTTCAAGATGGACAATCCATCAAATAAATTGGGCCAAAACATGTTATAATGCCGTAATAGAGTTTAGGATTGGGTAAATCTCGCTTGATTGGTAAAATGGCAATTGGGCCAACCCATAATTTAAGATTCAATCCAATTGATTAATTAGTTCAACTCAAAATTTTAGTATCTTCTCATTTTCTATTTTAAATGTTCTGGTGTGGGATTCTAACAACAATGAAGTCCTACAAGTGAGATCTAGGGAGGTGAGTGTTTTTATAGAGAACAAAAAGTATTCATCAGTTCATCTTTGACAACAAAAACCAAAACAAATGAATAAAACTTAAATGATTGGAGAGTGAAGACCAATAGTAACTCGTAAGGATACATTGGAGTTCCGGTACATGCTCATACTTCCTTCTCATCATATCAATTGCCACAGATGATATGTCAACATTAATAATCTCCACATACCCGTCCTTCACCATCTCCTCTGACATAACTAAAAACAAGACTTTCATTGAGAAATCTCATTATAAAGAAAACAAATATAGGTAAATAAATTTTAAAAAACTTGTTATCAATTATCTTCTCACTGAAAGTATTATAAGAGGCTTTCTATAATTGGTTTAGCCCAAGACCCAAACAGAGTTGGGATTATACCGGGTTGTGTTGATTATCTAGACACATACCACATGAATTGTACTCGTTTCTATAATAATCTGTATGTTACTTCTTTTGTACACGAAATACACATTAAAAATCTCAATAAGCATTTTTTTTAAAACAAACAAAGCTTCATTACGCCATAGGCGAAAAATTGGGAGGGAGAGACTCTCAATACAAAATCTTAGCATGAGAATAGGCTTGGGTTGGCTAGAGACTAGAGAGTGAGCCAAAAAGTTAGAAGCATGAGGAATAAACTGAATAGAACAAGAAAAAAAAGAACTGAAAGGTTCCCGACATCCAGAAATGACATTGGCAACACAAGATCTGGGCATTGCTGAAGAGACTGCCAGATCACGACAGTGGGTAGAGCAATCTGATCGAAGGGAAACCGCATTAACACCCCGACCTTTCAACCACGAGGAACTTCCATACAAGCCAAAGGTTCCACGATCAACGGGCTAAAAAAATGAGGCAAAGGTCCATTTAAAGCACCAGCAAAGGCACTATCTTGTGCGAATAATCATAAACACACACACACAGATATGTGTGTGTGTGTGTGTGTAGATATATATATATATATATATATATATATATATATATAGAGAGAGAGAGAGAGAGAGACAACAACAACAACAACAAACCCTGTAAAATCTCAAAGACTTGGGTTTGAAGAGGGTGTGGATAAACAAACCTTACCAGTACTTAGGAAGTAGATGAGTTATTTACATGAGTCCTCGACTCAAAATAAAAGATCATAAATAAGGAAAAAAACAAGTAACAGAAAGAGAAGAGAGAAAGGAGAGACAAAGGAAACTAAGTCCTACACAAGGACATAACACTACCCAAAATCTACCCTTCAACCCTAATCTTAGACCTCTAGAAACCAAGTCCTACACAAGGACATAACACTACCCAAAACCTACCTTGAAACCCTAATCTTAGACCTCTGGAAGCTCTAGTCCAAGGTCATGATCTCGGTTAACCCATGAACCCATAATTCAAGTTTAATCACATTGATCCCACTCTTCTTAGGTCTACTCCTCCTCCTCATGTCCTCTACATCAGCCTCTCACAGTCTCGCACCTCGTCATATAAGCATTTACACTTCGCTCAACATGTGCCTAAAAATCTTGTCCTCCACAAAGACCACTCGCACTTCCCTAGAATATCAACGTTTTGGACCCTGTCCATCTCCATATGACCACATTCATCTCAGGATCTTTATCTATGCCATTTGGAGCTTCTAAACATGGGTGTTTTCACTACCATGCATACCACTCCATACAATGTTGCCAGTCTGACCACTGCCCAATATAACTCCCCTTCCAGTTTTCATTGACCAAAAAATGTTTATCACACTTCAAATAACCACTTGTTGACCAATAAAAAGCTCATTTTTAACAAAAAGCTTACTTGGAAAGCTTTTTGCCAAACACCTGCAAAGTTTTCATCTTCACTAACTCAACATTGATCAACATACTAAGAATTAGAAAATCCAAAGAAATGAAACTAAGATTTATACTCCCTCTGTCGTGAAATAAACTTTACTTTTACTATTCAAAGAGTTAAACTATATCACTTTTGGTAGGTTATTGAGCCTGATGTAATATTTACGATCATGCATTTAGATTGTACCTTTCGTATTCCTCTGTGTAGCTATTTTATAGTGTGTATTCTCTGTACATACTTTGGAATTATATATATATATATATATATATATAAACTCTTAATGCAAGAGTTTTCATTTATTTACTTGGTACTCTTTTTTTTGTACCTGAAACAACTAATATATGGTACTCTCATAGTGACCTTTCAAAGGAAATAGCCATAGATTTTCAATTTGGGTTTATATATATATATATATATATATATATATATATATATATATATATATATATATATATATATATATATATATATATATATTATGTATGTATGTATGTATACATCCATACATACATATCCTACACCTGAAGTAACACATTTGATGTTATATTGAAATATACTAATGCAGAGTATTTCACTAATATAATTTTTCTAATTTTACACTAATATTTAAATAAATAAAATTGGAAATAACTTTTGAGGGTATAATTTTCTATTCATTCTTAATAATTCTGGGTGGTATGATGGAATAACAGGGTTGTGAGGTAATTAATTTCAAGGAGTTTTAGGACAAATAAATCCAGTCATAGCCCGAGAGTCAGAGAGTAGAAGAGAAGAGATGAATCACCTGCATTTCCACAGCCGGCCATGAGAACACGGGAAGAGGTGGGGATATACTTGCGAACGAAAGGGCGGAGAGAAGAGTAGCGCTGGTACCAATCGAAGGGCCCAACCCCTGCTTCTTGAATATACCTGGAGTCCCAGTAAATCGCGTCTCCATAGTCGTGCGAATTGCACGCCAGCTCGTCTCTGTACATCTTGCGGTGTTTCCCGGCGACAGACCGGCCGTCGGCGGTTTTTATTTATTTATTTTAATTTCGGACCGAAAGTGCTCGGTTTTGTTGTGGTTGGGGGATTGGGACTTTTGGGGGAAGAAGCTGTCGTGATGACGATGATTGATCATGTGAAATGTGACCTCACCATCTCTAAATTTTTGACAATTTTATAAAAGAGTTACATTCATAAATAAAGTAGTTATAAATTTTACAAATTTATAATTTATGGTTTAAATTTTTATTTTAAAATTTTTCTAAACTATTTAATTTTTATATTGAATTTTACAAATAGTAAATTTATAAACTTTATGACCATTTTATTGTGAACAAAGCATTTCTCAAAATAAAATGAGAAAAATATTATAGTAGAAGAGAAATATACGAAAAGAACCAGTGTAGTGTAATAAAATTTATTTATAAAATAGATGGAATACTTTGATCACCAGTATTTTTATTTATAGATATATATTACCCGAGTACAAAAATATAATATTTCAAAACTATATTTCAAAATGTATTTGTTGACATGTATTATGTTTCTATAATAACTAAGTGTGTTTTTTCCATTATTTGTAGTCACATTTTAGAAAAATGACTTTAAAAACTATTCTACTTTCACTTTTGACTGTTCAAAAACTTTTACTTTTAATTAGAATCCTTCTTGTATTCCTTCTACTTCATCCATCCAGAAATTTTATTCTAATTTGATTTTGCACCTTGACTATTAATATCTATATTTATTAGTAGATATATTTTATAAAAAATTGAAATTTCAAAACTACGTTTCAATAAATAAATATATATATATATATACATACATACATACATACATACATACATACATACATACATATATATATAACTTTTATCATAATACAATGTATTTTTTTCATATATCGGAGTCAAAGTTTACAAATTTTGACCAAAAAAGTCTAATCGAAAGATCATTTCTGGACGGAAGGAGTAAATGTTATCCCATCAATCACATCATATTTATTCATTCTTCCAAATTTTTTTATTTTTCCAATTTTTTCATGTTCCTTCTAAAAGAAATCACATAAATAGAAATAAAATATAGAGAAAGTACTAATATATTAGGGGTGTACACCGGTCAAGAACCGGACCGGAATGAAACCGGAAAACCAAAAACCGGAATCACTTAAAGTCTAGGACCAGAAACCGGATCTGTTATATCCCGATCTGGACCGATTCATACCTATTTTTTCTAATTCGATCCGGATAAAAACTGGAAAACTCGGAATATTTTTTTGTCAATTTTTTAAAACTTGTTTTTCAACAATGTAGCTTGATTTGAATAGATTTGAACCATACTCTTAATTTTTTATATTCATTGGGCGTGTTTGAAGAAACTATAGTAGTTTAAAATATGTTAATCAACAATATGATAAGTTTTAAAAAAAAAATTACTTCTGTTAGTTTGTGGGATTTCAATAGTATTATGAAGTTATACTTTAATTTTCTTTTTAGTTTCTTGCAAGAATATGTTAAATTTCAAATGATCTAATACTCTAAATTGAAACATTATACTTCAATTTTTTTCCAAATTGTTTTAGCTTTTTATTACTATGGAGATTTTTGGGTAATAAATGCCAATGATTGTAATTATAGAAAGTAATGAAAATTAATTAAAAAATACATATTACATTTAAAAGATTGTACTCCATAATAAAGTAAGAACAAAAAATAAAAACATAAAGTTGTATTTACAATCACATACTTCGTATTATATGTATTAAAAATAAAAAAATTACATTCCAGTCTTACCGGGATGACCTGGAAGCAATCCGGTCTTGGACTGGAATGAACTGCACTTTTACCGGTCCTTAATGCTTGGACAGGAGACCAATTTTAATTTTACCTGTCTAGCCCGAAACCATTTTTTCTGGGTCGGTCCGGTTTTCCGGTCCAACTTGAATTTTGTACGCCCCTAGCTTCATGTTTTTATCTTAAAAATAGAAGTTTGATGTTTGCGTGCCTTTGTACTCCTTGGTTGGTTTGGCCTGCGTGCCATGTGATCTTGTTTTATCTGTTTGACTTTAGGGTGGCTACGGCTTACCCTTGCTCACGGGTATGCCCGTTGTATTTGTTCATTGTTTCTTCTTTCATATTATTTACCGGTTACCGCAAAAATAGAAGTTTGATGTAACACTATATAGAAGAATGATGAAAGAGTTTTAGTTCCTTTCGAGGAGTGTTTTAGTTCCCTTCAAGGAGTGGACGAAGGAAATCACCTAATTTTTCTAATTGGGTAAAGGTTAAGATGAGTCTAGAAGTCTTTCCGGTTCGATTTGTGAAAGGTAAAACTACACTACTGAACGCTTTTGCAGTGAAATAAAATAGTACAGGTATAAGATCGGACTTTTGGTCAAGACATCATTTGAGTTAACAACCATTGTCATATACTTTGTATTTAATTAATAATTGAAATAATAAAATTTCGGTCACCATTTTTCTTAAAAGTTCCACTTAATTAATTGTATATCTTCATAGACAAGGTAAAAACCTAATTTTCAATGATTACTTAATTTTTATCTTGAAATAATTAATTAATTTAAAAATAAAATTAATTATAGAATAATTATTCCAACTATTAAATAAACATGCAGAGTATATGCCCAAGATTAGTCTGGAAAGAAGTCTACTGAGATAAAAGTAAAAAAGTATGAAAATACAAAATTAAGAGTACTTTAAGTCTTTTAAGACAAAAAACCGGAGTATAACGGCAGTGTAGTGTAAGAGTATGTGTTGGCAGTGTGATGGAAAAGTGGTGACAATGTAATATGTCAGTGTGATCAGTCGTTTGTCGGCGATCTGCGGCGGCACTAGGGTGGACGACGAATGACAGTGCGACAGTTACAATGTAACGATGTGGTTAGTGTGATGGTGTAACAATGATAGTGTGAACTACTATTTCGATTTTAAAAGACTTATGACTCCTATTTTAGTTTTAAAAGACTTATGACTTCTATTTTGAGGTTTTTATAGTTTTTTTACTCCATATAGTTTTTATACTTAGTTTTTTGCACCACTCTTTGACTCATTTTTTTTGTACCAAGACATGACTTTTGTGCACTTTTAGAATTAATAAACAAAAATATACTCCGGGGTATAAAAATAAATGAGAACTTGTCTTGATTAATCTAAAATTGTACAATAACACACTAAATATGGAAAAGATAAGTGCGTACAAAACGAACTTATCAATAAATATTTACAATAATTTTTGGTTATGTATATGATCATGAGTGACACTATATGCATTTTAACTCTTGTTCCGAAAATAAAAAAATAGAATTTCAATTTAGATATATTTTCAATGTCTTATTTTTATTTTAGTCTTTTACGTTTTTTCTAATATTTAACTTTGTTTTTTACAACTGAAACGAATAAAACATAAACATTTTATAAGGGCATTAGTGTAGAACTTCATATATAGGAGTGGAAATAAACTATGTTTTGAATCGATGATATGTGTATCTATGTAAACTTGCACGTGTGACACTAATGATTATAGTGTATGTGGTGTAAAACGTTGCGTTCCATTCAATTTTTTCCCCGGTTTTTACTTAATTTTGTTAAATTCAGATCTGATAGAATTACTTTTAAATATAACTATAATTAGAGATCTAATTTTCAAGATGAGAGGATAAAATGAGAAAATATATTAGGATGAATGAAAGGATTATGTTAATTTATTTTTAATGTGTTATGTGACTTTGTTTTGGCTGAAAGTTAAGAGTACTCGTGTTTTATTAAATTGTTTTTGAGAGCTATATTATTTAATAATTTTATTTTTTATATTTCTTTGAATTTTTGAGTAATGTCTTCTATCATTTGTGTTGTCTTTTATTTTTTATTGATAAAATTTTACATACATGAAAAATAGTTTAGAGAAAATAATGTTTTGAGTTTCAAAACAAAATTATTGCTTATGACAATGATCAATACATTATTTTATGCTAATAAATTTATAATAAGATAATAATGTTTAAAAAATAATTTATTTTTATTTTATTATATTAGTTTTTAATTTAATCTTTTTATCAATTTCATGAATATAATTAATATTACAGTAAAGTATGAATTTTTAAAATACTCCGTAATTCAAATGTAATAATCCATGAATTATAAATAATATACTAGAATCTTATGAAATCTTGTTGATAAAATCCAGCAAAATCCACATAACTCTTCATAAACTCTAAATAATCCATAAATTTTACAGAATCGACAAATTCAAAATAATCTATCAGAATCTTATAAAATTTATTATAATCGAGATTGAATAAACATCCTTAGATAAGTCTAGCCAAAATTGGGTTCCCTTTTTCACCATTTAATCTGTTCGGGTTCTAAATTGATGCTGGGATCGAACCTTGATTTAGTATCGGCGACATCTGTTGTCCAGAGGCTTTACAGCTCGCCAAGCAGGTCGATAATATGAAGCCGTCGACGGCGGACTTTCGCCGCCCGGCGAAGAGTGCTAAACGGACGACCATTCAAGATCTTAGCGACGATGCGCTCTGTTTGATATTCGCCTATCTCGACATCTTTGAGCTGATTCGAAGTTCTGCCGTCTGTTCTTCTTGGTACGCCTTCTCGAACTCATTTTAAAGGAAAATAAAAAAATTCTCTTACAAGTTTCCTCTTTTCGTTATGTCCTTCATTTAATCAAAACCTTTTTTCTGCAAATTGAAAATGATCTATGATGGCAACTCATTCGGATTGGAAACTTTAGTTCTAGCATTCAAGTTCATCTTCTTTGGTTATTTGATTGTTTATTCTTTTCTCAATGTACTGGTATTCTACAACATGTCTGTTTGGATGAGCATGAGAGACAGAGAGAGTAAGTGATGGAAGTATAGGAAGTGGAATTAATGAGCAGGAATGGATGAAGATGATGATTCTAAGTCAGCGAGTAGTTACCTTATCTGGGAGAGGATGAAATCTTAAGAGGGTCCATGTAAGCATCTTCCTTACGAGAAGTAGATGGTATACACAGAATAAGATGTTACATACATGCTAGGGATAACTTGGACATTTTTAATCCACGGTTACTAAGAAGTGCTTACTGAGTCTCTCATTATTAATCTAATGCTTAATATGCAGTGTATCATAAATAATTATTCATCTCATAGTGATAATAGGCTCAATAATACACCAATGCATATACTCCACCCACAAGATTTAGATTACGTACTAAGTAGTAAATGACATATTTTCCCTTGAAGTTTGTTGGTGGTTTGCAACAACGGTGACCGACAGTAGTGGTAGGTAGGGGACAATAGTAACGGTCGTTTGCAGTGGAGGCATTGGGCTGTGGCAATTGGTGAGAGTTGCAACCTACACTAGTGGAACTAGTGGAGATAGGCGACTGAATGTGGTGATAGCCGAGAACTGTGACAATCGATGACGTTGGTGGAGTGAAAAGCAAAGTTGTATATTATGAACTTTACATGGTGGTGAATTTTAGAGATTAATTATATCAATTAATTATGTTTGTTAAAAAATTGGACTTCCTCAAAGGTTTTGATAATTGCTATTTGTTCATAAAATCAGTAAGCTAAAAAACTGCCGGATACGACATCCAAAAGACTTGTAGTGGTGGATTGTCCAAGACCATGGGTCTCGCCTTCCATTTATCAATAGTCCTTTTCACTTCAACTCCTTTTTTTCTTTCATCTTTCCCAAATAGGGGTAACCCTTTACCGTTCTCTTCTCTTCCATTACTCACACCTGATTACACCTCATCCAAACAACCTGTTAAGGTTATCCAAAAGTGTTCACTTGTTCCATCCTACAAAACATTTACAGTATTAAAAAAGAATTTCCATGTAATTGTTTCTTCAAGTTTTGACTTTTGAGATGACTTTGTTTCTTTAGAATTTGACTTCTGATATGACATACCTGATCGACCTTTAGAACAAGGGTTGTTATTGCAAAGGCACCTTAAAAGATTGATACCATTTTTTGAATTCATAAATAAGTTTTGACACGTTATTACAGACTCATAATAAATAACAAATGTGGTGGAATATAAAAATATCTACTGGCTGGGCATGTCAACATAATGTGACATTTCTAAAAGATTTCCTTTCCTCCACATGAAGGAGAAAAGTTATTCAGAAGCTGAAGTTGCTGCAAATACGGTATGAGCGAGACCATAAAAATGATGCCGATTACCAATGTCTGACATCTTCATGTGCAAGACCACTGAATGAACTTCTTGATCAGCTAGCTATGGAAAAACACAGGTCTGCCTT